AGTCCTGGAGTCCAACAGCACTTGGTTAGGATGCGTCTCTTCCTCTGTGGACATGTGTGTGGTGTTTCTGCCGTGAACAGTGGGAAGATCTCCCCCTCACTGCTCTGCAGCACAACTTTCTCTCCTTCCCAGGTCTCAGCAGCTAGAGAATGGGAATCCAGAGATGTCAGCAGCTTCAGGGGGAAGAACTCCGGAGTCCGTGGCTGAGTCCGTGGCTGAAACGCCTCTCATGCATCCCTGCCCTGGACACTGGCCCTTCCATGACTGCACAGCCCTGGATAGGAGAAAATTCTCCCTTGTCCTGACCTAAGAATTTCCCTTCTGTAACTTCTCTCCCTTCACCATCCTAACGAGAGCCTCAGGAGTCAAAGATTAACATTTAGCCTCTCTCCTGAAGACCCTGCCTAGCAAGAATTTGGAGATGACGATATCCACACCATAGACTGCCCCTAAATCAGTTAGATATACTTGCACAAATGTTTATTATAATAAAGGAACTGCCCATTTTAATTTTTTAAATGATTATTTATTTTTGAGGGAGAGAGTGAGCGAGCAGGAGAGGGGCAGAGACAGAGGGAGAGAGAATCCCAAGCAGGCCCTATGCTGTCCGCACAGAGCCTGACGCAGGGCTTGATCTCATGAACTGTGAGATCATGACCTGAGCCGAAATCAAGAGCTGGATGCTTAACCGCCTGAGCCACCCAGGTGCCCCAGAAACTGACCATCTTTAAAACACAGGAGACCTAGGCACTCAAAGATTTCACTTGTGTGTTTTTGCCTATTTCCAAGTCTTTAAAAAATAAAGCATATCCACACTAAAAGAAAAATTAAGGTGCATAAATAAACATTCCAAGGGTACAGAAACATACAGCCCTCCTGGGCAGAGAACTCCACTCTTCACGCTGTCATCCTTAATTTGGAAAAAATAAAACCGTGATGTATCACGGAAGCCACCTCACATCTGCAGGTGTGTGTGATCGAGGAAAAGCAAGCCTCCATGTTCCTCAAAGAGGGCGATTCATGTCCTGCCAGAATGGAGCAGAACTTCATTCAGCCCATACTCCGAGCAAATAGGAATCGCTCCTGTCCCATATCCTGGGTCCACAGAGCTGAATGCAAACTACAGGACTGGGGGTTGGGCGGGTGGTGGTGGGGAATCTGGCTCCTCCTCCATAAGCTTTCCTGAAGTCTTCCCTGTCATGCTGGCGGATACTTCCTACTGACAACGTGCTTCCCTGATCAGACCCAGAGAAGCCAGCTTCTAGTGCCAAAACCGATGATGTGGAGGGGTGGGATTCCAAGAGTCTGATCATACAGTATATGGTAAGGCAAACTGCCACCCTATGACTGGAAAGGATTTCAAAACAGGAGGCCACATACAATAGTATAAAAACACGGGCCTGAATGCCTGCCATCAACTTGACTCAGATCTTGACATTATCAGTGAAGAAACCAGAGAAGAGAAAATCACTCGGTATGTTTTAGAATTATTTAATTTTGGGGCGCCTGGGTGGCTCAGTTGGTTGGGCATCCGACTTTTGCTCAGGTCATGATCTCACAGCTCATGGGCTCATGCCCCCATCAGGCTCTGTGCTGACAGCTCAGAGCCTGGAGCCTGCTTTGGATTCTGTGTCTCCCTCTCTCTCTGCCCCTCTCCTACTCATGCTCTCTATCTCTCTCTGTCTCTCAAAAATAAAGAAACATTAAAAAAAATTAAAAAATGAATTCTTTAATTTGGCTGATTACCCAAATATTCAGTTTTTAAAAACCACAGTAAACCCGGGCACTTTCAGATTTTAACGTTTGTAGTATTGCCTATTTGTAAGTCTTTTCTCAGGCTGGCAATGTGGGGACAACCGTAGCTCGTCTGGGGTGTCCACCATGCTCTCTGGACAAGGAAGGTGGTTGCTGGGCTCATCTGGCCCCCTACGCAACACCACAGGCTTAACGCGGCAGGGAGTTCTGGTGTGTTGGTGATTTTGGGGGGAAGAGTTCAACAACTCTGGCATTCCTCCCCACCCCCGGGACAGATCAAGGCCGTTCCATCCCAACTACACAGACAGGGAAGAGCATGGCCCCCAGTGGCCCACCTTCCCACGTGCCTGGGGGAAGGGAAGGGAGCACCTGGTGCCATGCTTCTCTCCTCCCTAAGGATCCCAGGTGACACAGGACAGAAGCAACCTGCCACGACTGCCCCGCCCCCAAGGCCACGTGGCTGAGGCAGTGAGAAAGAGGCTGAACCAGCTCTGTCTGGGTTCATGTCACTCTTCTCTTCTTCCGGATGTGGGGTGTACCCTGTGGACTGGCCTTGCCTTCCTCATACTGTAAAGTTGCATTCTCAAGACTGAGAAATGAGAGATCAGAATGAGAGAAAGAGGTCACACTCAGGCCTTTTCCTTTTAAAAATTGACTTGACCGGGGCGCCTGGGTGGCTCAGGTGATTCAGCGTTTGACTTCAGCTCCGGCCATGATCTCATGGTTCGTGGGTTCGAGGCCTGTGTCGCGCTGGGGGCTCAGAGCTTAGAGCCTGGAGCCTGCTTCGGATTCTGTGCCTTCCTCTCTCTCTGCCCCTCCCCCGAGTATGCTCTGTCTCTCAAAAATAAATAAAACGTTTAAAAAAAACTGACTTGATAGAGGTATAATTTAGATGCAAAAAGGCCATGCATCTTAAGTGCGCAGCTGGCTGAATTTTGACAAATGTACCCAGGGAGCCACCATCGTTGTACATGTAGATACAGAACATTTCCACTACCTGCCAAAGTCCCCTCGTCCTCCAGCCTATTCGGATCACTGGATCCATCTAATGAAGAGGGGCAGAAGGGCTTCTACGCTGCAGCTACTAGCTGTGTGCCTGGGCGAGTGATCTAATCTCTCTCTGTCTCACTTTCTCCATCTGTAAAATGGGGACAGTAATAGTACCTAAGACAGAGTACTTGGCGCGTGATGTACATGGTGTGGTAAGTGCAGAGCACGGAGATTCGGGTCTGGCACACGCAAGCTTTCCGCACATTTCTGCGGCTACTCTGTCATCAAGATCATCATCATAAGAAATGTCTGAGCTTCCTTCCAGTGGCTGAATTTATTTAGCACAGAGAAGGTGCATGCGACAGGGCCTGGGGAAATCACCTGTGAAGATCACATTATCCGATTATTCCAATAGACTTAGTCCATCTGTAAATACGGATTTATTCACAAAGGCCTCAGGAAACACTCCTCTCCACTGAAAGGTTCTAACTAATCAGGTTTGCTGAGCCCTTGAGCCCAACAGCAACCCATCCCTACATCCCTGGGACGAATCTGGTACCTCCCTTAGTCCCAAGGCTTTAAGGAGAGCTGATGTCCTGCTTCTTTTTGACAGCAAGTAGGGGCTGGAGAGGGCTGAGGTTTAGTGTAAGGTAGAAAATTAAAATAGAAAAAAAAAATAAAGAAGCACAAAGGAAAAAAAACAACTCCATCTCCCAGAGGCAACTAGCTCTGACATTCTGGCATACTTCCTCTCCGGTTTCTGTGTTTTTGCCGTATTTTCCTTACAAAGCAGGACAGTTTTATTACATGAACATTTTTTACACTTTTGACTTAAATTTAGCACACAGAGATCTTCTCCTTCGTCCCTAAAAACGTATGTTAAAGGTTCTGCATCACTCCACTGTAGGGATATGTCGAGTAATCATTCCCTACTTCCGGACCTGTAGGTTGCTTCCGGGTTTTTACGACTGTAAATAATGCCCCAAGTGCTCTGGTGCATAATCAACTAGCATTTGCTGGTTTCCTGAGAAGCTGTAGTTTCTGCTTAGGCCGTCTGGGCTGTGTCTGGACCACACGCATCATCCCGGAGGGCGGGAGGGCGGCTTCCTTCCTCATTCTCCATGTGCTGGAAGCACATGCTTTGGTGCCCTTGCAATGGCGAAGTTACTTTACGTGAAGCGAAGGGTTTCGCTTACAAGAGAGCAGATCTCTCTCGGTGATGCACTGTGTTTGGCTCCTTTAATGCTGAGAAGCCTTCCCAGCTTTTAAGACCAAGCTTCTAGAAGCTGATTTAGTGACCCGTGCAGGAGGGAGACTCCACCCAAAGGGGGCCTTTTCACCTCTTATGGCACAGTAACTTTCTTTTCCAATCCTCAACGAGGGCGAAGGTTTAAGCAGCATCACAGAAAGAGCTACATCTGTCTGGTACCACTTTGTTGCCTATCTGACTGGCAAAAATGGCGAAGTCTGACGATAGGCTATGTTGACGTAACTGTGTCGAAATGGGCACTGAACATGCATTTCTGGTGGAGACGTGAATTTGCATAACCCCTTGGGGGGCAATCTGGCAACATCCATCCGTGTCACAAGTGCATATATGTTTTGACAGGCAATTCTACTTTTAGGGATTTATTCCACAGACAGACTCGTGTATCCTCTGACACGATGTAAAAGAAAAGAGGGTCTGTCTATCCGGGTCCTGAAGCAGGTTTGGGGGACACAGACATCCAACCAACATCTGAAATCCTTGGGGTCTAGCAGGAGTGTGGTCTAGACAGGCATCTGGTGGGCGAGCTGGCGAATAATCAGAAGGTGTCGACAGTTGTGTATGGCAGAAACAGGCCTTTAAGGCTCATGGATGCAGGACACAGGAAGACGTCAGACAGTGGAGGGTGTGACACAGAAAGGCATGAGCGAAGAGGGGAGCCTGACAGGCAGGGCCGGGAAGGCCTGAGCAGGGGTCGCACGGCCTTCCCGGAGACGACAGCAGAGCAAAACTGGGTGGCCAGGGACGCGGGTAGCAGTCAGCAACAGAGGATCCCAATGCCATCAACAAGGTCTGAATCTTTCCCTTAAGTCCATGGTCACTAAAGCAAAACATGAAAACCACTTCCATACATCTCAAAAAAGAAACCTGGTTGTATTAACAGTTTATACAGAGACATATGACATAATTTATAAATAAACATATACAGATCAGGGGCACATGCTCCCTTTTATTGCCAGAGGTATGCAAACCAGTGCTATCAGCGGATGGCGCACTGGAACTTTCCAGGAAGTGACATGATGACATTGGATGGTAAGGAAGATGCTGGGAACTGGGACTCCTCCCTGTGAATGCCCAGAGCACATGAATCTGGAAGAGGAAAGGAATCAGGGGGAGCTGGGGCTCAGCTCAGCCCTCCTGGGATGAGAGTAGCTACTCCTGGGTTTGATCAGTGACCAAACCCCATAGCCACACGGCGAAGGGTATGAGACTGGCTGTCTGTCTGTGGGTTGCAGGATCTGGCCTCTTGCAGAGAAATCCATTCACCTTCTTCTGTGCACCCCGTGTCACCCAAGACACTCACCCTTGGGTCCTAGGGGACGGAATTTCTGATCAAGTCCCCTGTCAAGTGCTAAAAGTGGTTCCTCCCAGGGGCTTCAGAATGTCAGCTTGGTCAGTTACGTTTAGCACTTTGGAGGCACATGCAATCTTATTGTTCCTGGATAAGAGCGTGCTCAGTTTTATTTCCTTTGGATCCTCTGAGTGAGGCTTAGCATTTAATCCTCTTCCCATCCCTATGGGGCTCTGCAGGGGTCTGCGTGTGGCTGACGTGGGAGCACAGTACCCTGGCCCTCACTGAGGGGGTAGAAACCCTTACCACTTGGGGGTCACGCTTGTACTGCATGTCTTGCTCCAGCTGAAGCAGTCCCAACCCATCCTTGGGAATGGAGTGACATCCGATTTCGTCAGCCACCAGAGAGGAATTCAGAAGCCTCTCAGTGGTTCGAGAGGGGCAAAGGCTTCAGAGAAGACAAAGGGAGAGAAACACGAATTGCGCAGTCATCAGTGAGCCAGCCGCTCCTGCCCCCGCGGCCGTGCCATGGAGATCGTCAAGGTGTCCAGAGAACAACTGGGAGGGGGGATGTGATGTGTGGCAACATGGCTGGACGCAGGAGGACAGTGAAGAAACCTGTGGAAGCACAGCGCAGGTGCTCGTTTCTCCATTCCAGCCTGTGGATGGCACGTACACAGAGCTGAGTCGCTGAATCACCTGTTCATCCCAACAGGAAGCCCATGGCCGCTACACGAGGAAAAAAGACACATCCCTCCTCCCTCATGAAAAACGAAGACAGGGCCAGGGATCTGGGACACATATGGGGAAGAACTCTTTCTTAAGAAGTAGGGTGCAGGTGGAGAAAACCAACCGAAGCAAAAACAATCCCTTAATCCATGCGCTTGAGGAAGGCAGAGGCCCTACACAACAATTTTTAATAACATTCTTCACCATCTGTAGCCTTTTCGTTAAAAAAAAGAAAAGAAAAGAAAACAGCTGGTGAAAATGAAAACACTTCACTTTTTATATTAGACCATTTTAGACCATATAGCAGTTCTGTCCATAAGAAATCATCACCTGCAGGGTGCCTGGGTGGCTCATTCGGTTAAGCGTCTGACTTCAGCTCAGGTCATGATCTCGTGGTTCGTGGGTTCGAGCTCCGCGTCGGGCTCTGTGCTGACAGCTCAGAGCCTGGAGCCTGTTTCAGAGTCTGTATCTCCCTCTCTCTCTGAACCTCTCCTGCTCAAGCGCTCTCTCTCTCTCTCTCTCTCTCTTTCTCTTAGAAATAAATAAAACATTAAAAAATTAAAAAAAAAAAAAAAGAAATCATCACCTGCTAGTCCAACCTAAGTAGTTAGAATAATGTGGTAAACAGGGGATGTAGTCGAAATGATCAGTGAAAGTTATGAAGTGTTCAGGCAATTCAGCCAATGTCTATTGAACTTGTCTAAATCAGTTTCTCAATAACGTCTATGAAAAGAGAGCTTCTCGGTGGTGGTATGTGAGCAGAGTTTTGTGCTGATCTTGGATTTCAAAGCCACATCACTGTCAGAATCATGATAATTTATTTTACATTTAATAATTTTGTGGCAACTATACCAAAGAATTTCCTTACATGTTCAAGTTTGCTATTTTGGAAAGGTAATCCAGATAATATATCCTCCTTTTAAATATTCAAAATATATTGGGGCACCTGGGTGGCTTAGTCGGTTAAGCATCCGACTTTCGCTTAGGTCATGATCTCGCAGTTCGTGGGTTCGAGCCCCACGTTGGGCTCTGTGCTGACTGCCAGCTCAGAGCCTGGAGCCCGTTTCAGTCTGTGACTCCCTCTCTCTCTGACCCTCCCCTGCTCACGTTCTCTCTCTCTCTCCTAGAAATAAAACATTAAAGGGGCGCCTGGGTGGCTTAGTCGGTTAAGCGTCCGACTTTTGCTTAGGTCATGATCTCGCGGTTCGTGGGTTCGAGCCCCGCGTCGGGCTCTGTGCTGACAGCCAGCTCAGAGCCTGGAGCCTGTTTCAGTCTGTGACTCCCTCTCTCTCTGACCCTCCCCTGCTCATGCTGTCTTTCTCTCTCTCTCTCTCCTAGAAATAAATAAAACATTAAAACATTTTTAAAAAAATAAAATAAATATTCAAAATATAATACTAAATGCTTTCAGTAAAAGATATACAATTTTCTTGTATGACAGTTCCTGCTTTAGGAAAAGGAGGGTGACTTAGAATGCCAGCAGAACCCCGGCTGTGATTTTTAATGAAAATAAAACCGCACCTGTGTGCAGGCAACTTAAGAGTGAAGGCAAACTCTTCACTCATGTTCCTAAAAGGATACTTCTCTGAGTCACTTCCTCACCAACGGTGAACACTGAGAAAGCCACAGTTTCAGCCTCCAGGCTTTAGAAGCTGGGTTTAAGTCCCCCCCCACCCCGACTAAAACTATAACCCAGTTTCACAAATAGTTGTATAATTTTATACAACTTTCACTTAAAATACTTTGCTGGGGCAACCATGAAACCACAAGGGAAAACCCAAACACTAACATTTTGCATTTTTCTAAGTCTGAAATCTCAATGTATTTAAATACCAGCATTACCCAGTCAGAAACCTACTTTAATGAAAACCAAGAGGGAAAAAAAAGTGGATGCTTCAAAATCGGAATGGTTTGCGCTTCAAGTCAAAAAGAAAGATCATGTTGACTCTATTTTGTATCATTACAAGCTCGTAAAACTACACAGACTCAGCCCTACTGTAAGATGAGATGTTTAGAATAGAAGTTGACCAGATAGTTGTTTCCAGCTCCCTAGTTATGCAAGGAATACACAGAGCTCTGATTTTTATCTTACATTATTTATCATACAGTTAGTTAAGAAACAAATAGTAGGGGCGCCTGGGTGGCTTAGTCGGTTAGGCGTCCAGCTTTCACTTAGGTCATGATCTCGCAGTTCGTGGGTTCGAGCCCCGCGTCGGGCTCTGTGCTGACTGCCAGCTCGGAGCCTGGAGCCTCTTTCAGTCTGTGACTCCCTCTCTCTCTGACCCTCCCCTGCTCACGCTGTCTCTCTCTCTCTCTCCTAGAAATAAATAAAACGTTAAAAAAAATTAAGAAACAAATAGTAGATATTGCTGTTGACCATGAGCCAAGACAGCTATATATGATTATGTGCCATGGTGCAAAATTTTGCAGGGAAGAAAAACTCCAGTAGTTATAATTCCTTTCCCACGAACACTAACCCTTCCCTTTATGCTCCAGGGGTAACCTCAGGCCTGATATAAGCATGGGTTGTTAGATCTTTTACAGCTTTCGCAGAGATTAGAAGGCTGCAGAAAAATACCACTAGGGGTTAAAAAGAGCTTTCCAAAATTGTTCTAAATGGACAAATAATGCTTTGCTTTCTTTGACAGCTGTTCACTAACTGAATACATCTGGAGAAAGAGAGTCAGGTGCCAAGAGATTTCTATTTGGTTCGCTACCAGGTTTTCTTTTCCAGGATGCTTTCCAACACTCAGACTCGTCTTATTTAAGTACATTAAAAAAAAAAAAAGTTGATTCTTCTTTTAATTTTTTTGTATCACGTTCCACCCCTATGAGATAACATAAACTGTGGATTTAAAGAAGACAGCTTTAAGGTTAAAGCTATTCCACGCACCTGAATTTTTGCTGGCCACAGGGGTGGAAATATGGCCGATTACCTTTAAGTTAAGGCCAAGAAGATGCAGCATTCATTCAAATGCACTGATCTCCAGTTGACACTGTTAGTCACTATTACCCAAACTATTTAATAGTAACTATTAATGTTTCAAATGAGAAGCATGAGGAAGGCGGAGTTCTTCCAGGAGTAGTGGGTAAGCTGCCCACTGAGCAGTCTCATGGAGTGAGGTCCTTCTGGGAAATTTGTCCTGGTGTCTGGGTCTGGTCTTCAGCCCTGGCAGAGCCTCCGCCCCCAAGCAGACTCGCCTTTGCCAGGCTGACAGAGACTGATGAATGGAAACAAAATGCCAAAGTCTTCCTTTGCAATGAAAAATACACCTCTCTATACGATGGCAATACCCTCATCGGATAAGTGGTACCTTCTCTCCCCTGAAAGCTAGGCCAACCAAGAAGCCAACTTATCTTTTTTTAAGTTTAATTATTCATTTTGAGAGAGACAGGGACAGCATGAGTGGGGGAGGGGCAGAGAGAGAGGGGAAAAGAAAGAATCCCAAGCAGTGGCAGTGCAGAGCCCGATGTGGGGCTCAAACCTACGGAGCTGTGAGATCATGACCTGAGATGAAACCAAGAGTCAGACACTCAACCAACTGAGCCATCCAGATGCCCAAGAAGTCAGTTTATAATCATAAATGTATTTTGCTGGCCATAGAGAATTAGAAAAAAGAGAGCGAACCATAGGATTATGATGCATATCAGGCTAAACTAATCCAATGCAAACAACTCCACAACCAAAATAATCTTGTGAAAGGAACCACAGTATCTTCCACCCTACATGTTGTGATTTTACTTAAAGTAAGTGGGGAATAATATATTTGGGAGAAAAGAACACGGTATTAGGATTCCAGTGTGATACAGTACCTTGTCTGGCTTCAACAATTATAAAAATCTTTAAACACAGTGCAAACTCTTCCTTCCTTCCTGTCTCTTTCCTTCCTCCCTCCCTCCTTCCTTCCTTTCTCTTTTTCCTTTCCTCCCTTCCTCCCTTCCTCTTTTCCCTCCTTCCTTTCTCCTTCTTCCTCCTTTCCTCCCTTCCTTCCTTCCTTTCTGTAGGCTCATGCCCAATGTGGGGCCTGAAGTCATGACCCTGGGATCAAAGGTCCTATGCTTGGCGTGCCTGAGTGGCTCAGTTAAGCCTCTGACTCTTGGTTTCAGCTCAGGTCATGATCTGATGGTTTGTGAGTTCGAGCCCTGAGTTGGGCTCTGCGCTGATGGTGTGGGGTCTGCTTGGGATTCTCTCTCTCCTCTCCCTCTCTGTCCTTACCCCACTTGTGCTGTCTCTCTCTCAAAATAAATACTTAAAAAAAAAAAAGAGTCCTATGCTCTACTGACTGAGGCAGCTGGCACCCCCGTGCAAACACTTTAAAACCAGTATCCATCTACCTGCCAGGAAAGCTTCTACACTCAGTACTACTAAAAATATGCTGTGGTGAAAAAATCCAGAGAGCGGAAACCATTTCAAAGTGGGACATCAAAAAAGAGAGGGCTGGTGGTTAATCAGTTTTCCAAGAGTGTCACCATGTAACTTTTAGTTAGAATTCTTGAAACTCGTAAATAGGTGGCCAGTGAAATGAATGGCTGCCAGATAAACCTGAGTCCTAATCTCCACCCCAAAATGTGCAAGATCTGAGATGGAAACTGGCATGCATCGCGTCTGATTCGAGACAGAGACAGAGAATGAGTGGGGAAGGGAAGAGACAGATGGAGACACAGAACCCGAAGCAGGCTCCAGGCTCTGAGCTGTCAGCACAGAGCCCGATGTAGGGCTTGAACCTATGAAATGTGAGATCGTGACCTGAGCTGAAGTTGGATGCTTATCCAACTGAGCCACCCAGGCGCCCGTCCGAAGATACATCTTTTAAGAGGTCCACCCTCTTATCTTCCTTGGGGGAAACATTCTTTATATATTGTCATCGAATATATTTTATTCCCAGCGCATAACAAATTGCTGATGTTCCACATTTAATCGTATCTCTGGCAGTCACCATCTGTGCATGGTGCTGAAACACCTCGGGTGGCCTCACACACTGTCTGTCTATCACACACGCCCAGCTGAGACTCACTGCCTGTTTCCAGCACTGGTTTTATTCACCTTACGCACATCTACCCACGGGACGGTGCAGAGGTCTCCTATCGATGATCTGAAAATCTACTTAACCGCGGTGTCTATTCAAGCCTTTGATGCAAGGCTGAGGGAAAAGAGCCCACAGGAAAGAACAAAAAACCTGAACCAGCCCATCCAGATCCTTACTGTCATGACAGGAAGCACGATTTAGTCATGGGTTTAATAACAAATCGCAGGCAGAACAACCCGGACTAAATAAAGGCCTTTCCACTCGTAATCACTCTCTGAGCAGAAACATCTGCACAGACGCCTTCCCTCCAACCCTTGTTCCCTGCATCTGAGGCCTTGGAACAAAGTGGAAAAGCAATGGATGCGCTAAGACTGGAGACACGGTAGCGCACAGCACACACAGTGGCCTGATGGCCCATACGCAGCCGGAGCAGGCCGGGTACAGCTAAGTCACAGGTGCTCTCCTCCCTGCCCTCCTCTGATGCAGTCCCGCGTCGCCTTTCTGGAAAAGTCTATGCACAGAGAGCATGGGCTGCAATTTCTGGTTTCGTGTGAACTGCGGAGAGGACTTTAAAACTCACACCTGAAAAGCAACCCATCGCCCAATCCTTCCAGGCTTTGACGATTGCCCCCTTCCAATCATATGGCTGTTATTACACCCACGCCCTTCTGCAGTGGCTGGCCCTACCCGAGTCTTTCCAGAACGTCAGTCTCACAGAAAGGGAACTTTCCTTCTGCGCTGGGGTGGCTAATGGAACATTTAATTAAAATCAGCTACTGACCAACAAGAACTGGTGATGCCCGGGTGAGAGAAGATGTTTCTAAACGAGCCCTCGGCATCCAGGGCAGGGCTGCGCGGCACACATGGGGGGTCCACCGGCCCTGCACCCGCCGGCCCTGCACCCAACAGCCATGCACCTGCTAACCATGGACCCGCCAGCCCTGCCAGCCACGCACCTAACCATGCACCCACCGGCCCTGTACCTGCCCGCCCTGCACCCACCAGCCATGCACCCACCGGCCATGTACATGCTAACCGTGCACCTGCCGGCCCTGCACCCGACAGCCCTGCACCCACCGGCCCTGCACCCGCCAGCCATGTACCTGCTAACCCTGCACCCACTGGCCCTGCACCCGCTGGCCATGTACATGCTAACCATGCACCTGCCGGCCCTGCACCCACCAGCCCTGCACCCGCCGGCCCTGCACCCGCTGGCCATGTACATGCTAACCGTGCACCTGCCGGCCCTGCACCCGACAGCCCTGCACCCACCGGCCCTGCACCCGCCAGCCATGTACCTGCTAACCCTGCANGCCCTGCACCCGCCGGCCCTGCACCCACCAGCCCTGCACCCGCTGGCCCTGCACCCCCCAATCATGCACCCGCTGGCCCTGCACCCACCGGCCCTGCACCCGACAGCGCTGCACCTGCTGGCCCTGTACCCACCGGCCCTGCACCCGCCGGCCATGTACCTGCTAACCGTGCACCTGCCGGCCCTGCACCCACCAGCCCTGCACCCGCCGGCCATGTACATGCTAACCGTGCACCTGCCGGCCCTGTACCCACAGGCCCTGCACCCACCGGCCCTGCACCCGCCGGCCATGTACATGCTAACTGTGCACCTGCCGGCCCCGTACCCGCTGGCCCTGCACCCACCAGCCCTGCACCCGCCGGCCCTGCACCCCCCAATCATGCACCCGCTGGCCCTGCACCCACTGGCCCTGCACCCACCGGCCATGCACCCGCCGGCCATGCAACTTCCAGCCCTGCACCCGCTGGCCCTGCACCCACCGGCCCTGCACCCACCAGCCATGCACCCGCCGGCCATGCAATTGCCAGCCCTGCACCTGCTAACCATGCATCTGCCAGCTCTACACCCACCAGCTCTGCACCTGCAGGCCCTGCACCCGCCAACCATGCACCTGCTGGCCCTGCACCCACCAGCCATGCACCTGACAGCTCTACACCCACCAGCCCTGTACCCGCAGCCCTTCACCCACAGGCCATGCATGGCACCAAGCCCATGTTCCACACATGGGCGCCGGTGACCCGGCAAGCCTGGAGTGCTCATGACACCCAGCCCTACCACCAGGTAAGCAAAGGATGATCATCTGCTTCCTAAGGTAAAATGCCTCTTTCTTTCAAGAGATCTCACCAGCTCACCTTTCTGCTCCAGACTTTTCTGTGGGGACAGCAGTTAACTGGTCTTGTGCATCTCACCAGCATCCTTTGGTTCACAGACCCAGCCAGCCTCATCCCTGCTCCTCTCGGGCACCCCATCCCTCTAGCTCCACTTCAGACCACTGACTGTCCCTGGCATATGGCTGTGCCTTCGCTCCGGCCCTCCTCCTGGCCTTTCCCCTCAGCTCTGTCCACGCAAACCCCACCACCTGTCCAGGCCTGGCTCAGTTCCATCTTCTCTGCCCCCCTGTCCAGGCCCTTCTGCCCCTGATGCCATGCACCTCAGGCACTTCCGATCTATGTCCGGGTTCTACCCACTTGACTCCTGGTAGTTATGGGTCGTTAGACAGATGTGTTACGTGTTGTGTCTCTAACTCTCCTTCAGTCTGCTTCTGTTCTGCAGGGACTTAAAGCTTCCTAAAGCTTAATGTGTTCCATGGCAGAATTAAGCTTTTAATTTTTATTTTTTGAAATATTTATTGAGTGAGTGTGAGAGAGAGAGAGGCAGAGAGAGAGAGAGGGAGGGAAGGAGAGGGAGAGAGGGGGAGGGAGGGAGATGGAAAGGGAGAGAGAGGGAGGGAAGGAGGGAGAGAAAGCGTGAGCAGGAAAGGGCAGAGAGACACACACACAAAGAATCCAAAGCAGGCTCCAGACTTTGAGCTGTGAGCACAGAGCCCAATGCAGGGCTCGAAGTCACAAATGGTGATATTATGACCTGAGCTGAAGTCAGACGCTTAATGGACTGAGCCACCCAGGCGCTCCAAGCTTTTTTTTTTTTTTTTTTTAAAGTTTGTTTATCTTTGGGAGAGGGGCAGAGTGTGAGCAGGGGAAGAGCAGAGAGAGAGAGGGAGACACAGAATCTGAAGCAGGCTCCCAGCTCTGGGCTGTTTAGCACAGAGCCCAATTGGGGCTCAAATCCATGAACCGCAAGATCATGGCCTGAACTGAAATCAAGAGTCGGATGCTTAACTGACTGAGCCACCCAGGCAGCCCCAGAATTAAGCTTTCAGACTATCTAAACCTCAGAACCCAGAACCTATTTCTTCATCTCCAAATTACATGCTCATCTTCCCTCCTGGTGGGGCAAGCTGCCACGTTGGGAGAATGGCAGGGACGGATGTGGCGTGTGATGACTGCAGGTAAGTGCTGTTTTACTCTGATCCAGGTGAAGATGAGTCATAAAAAGTAAAGAGAAATTGCTCTGACAACCCCATGGTTCTATCTTCTCATATTCAGTTTTATTTTATTTTATTTTAATGTTTTTTATTTATTTCTAGGAGAGAGAGAGAAAGAGACAGCGTGAGCAGGGGAGGGTCAGAGAGAGAGGGAGTCACAGACTGAAACAGGCTCCAGGCTCTGAGCTGGCAGTCAGCACAGAGCCCGACGCAGGGCTCGAACCCACGAACCGCGAGATCATGACCTAAGCGAAAGTCGGACGCTTAACCGACTAAGCCACCCAGGCGACCCAGTCTCATATTCAGTTTTAAACTCTTATTACTTTGGACGCCTACTTGTAAACTACACTTCTGTCTTCAACCTCATCCAGGTGAAGCACATCTAGGTCACACCCTCCTTGTCACTGAGGACACCCAGGATTAGGAAATCTCTGATGAACTGTTCAGTAAAAGAAAGACTCCTCTTCCACGCTAAGTATCCTCTGATTATCTGTTGTGAAAGTTTAGATTCTTCTATTTTATGTTCTATTAATAAACTTGTACAAATCCACTGGAGTCATGTGTCTTCTCCCTGCCTCTCCTGTAACCCACTACTGTGTTCACAGCTCGATTGCTGAAACAGGCTCAGTGAGTAATTAAAAATAAGTCTCAAATGGCTACCTCTGGTGGGAGTGACAGCTTCTACTGTTCTTGTTTTTGTTTTTTTTTTTTGGTCAGGAGGACACGGCCACACATGGTGGTTTTTCACGGCTAAAATATGGCAACAATGTATTCGAAATGATTAACCATCTCTCTCCTCCCTTCAGTACCCGTCAAAAATCCATATAAGCTCTAAATTTCAGACATAGCATTCCCCTGAAACAAGAAATTAATGGACATCAAATCACTAGGAAGCAGTACAGTGTGGTGGTCAAAAACTTTGGACCCAGAACACCTGGGTTCAATGCCCAGCTTGGTTCCTTGCTAGCTAAGTGCCCTGGAGGGCGCTACCTACCAGTCCCAGACCACTTACCTCACAGGGCATTGGGGGAATAGGAAGTCCATGCAGACACAGTGCTTAGTTAGAACAGTATGTGCTGTGCGCTAAGTGCTTACCAGCCCTTAGCTACTATTATTATTTCTATGAGGATAGCAAAGATGACTTAATTGGGCACCCTATCTTCCTCAGTAAGGAAACTTATCTCAGAACAGCCTACCTAGGAATATAACTATGTACCCATTGCTTAAATCTACCAGTACTTTCAGACTCTACAAGAAAAAATCATTTTAAAAATAAATTTTATTTATTTTTCTTTTTTAAAAATAGTTTATTGTCAAGTTGGTTTCCATATAACACCCAGAATCACAGTAAAACCTTCGATGGCAAGTAACTTGTTCCGTGAGTGTTCCACAAGACAAGCAAACATTTCTAATAAATTTTAACTTGATAAATGAGCAGAGCCTTGCAATATGAGTAACGTGATGCCAAATGTCATATGATCACAATTGAGCCACTGGTTCTCTCTCTCTCTCTCTCCCTGCGGGATTGTGGTTGATCATCTCCCATGCTCGGATGCTCAGTCTCAAGCTACACAGCGTCAGGCAGAAATTGGTGATTTTTCAGAATGTTGGAAGGTGCCCACAACTGGCACTAGTATGTTTTTTTCACTTCAAAGCACTTATGGACAATCCTTTGCTCTTCCAGGCAAAAGTAAGCTAGGAATGCTTTGCTTCATTCAAGGGCAGGCTGCTTGCAGATATAGACCCTTTTCTCTGCTGCCTTATTGCCAGTTACCCTAAATACAGTATTTGACAAGAGTTTTCTAATACTGTACTATAGTCAATATCCGTGCAAGCGTGTACAATGGCCCCCATGCAGAAAGAGGTTGAAAAGAAAGGTGGTAAGAAGGAGGAGATGATTATGGTGGAGAGCTGGAAGAGAAAAGGTGGAGGAATCCCTCACTTGAGATGAGATTAGGGAGATGTGAAAAATGTGTGAAACAGTGCAAAATTTTGTAGAAAAGTACCACCCGAATGAAGTTGTAGCAGTGGGGGCGATGAATCTAAGGGCAGTGAGATGTCACATTTCCACGAACTCTTCAAGAGGAGGCCAAAGCAAGTGTCAATGGATAGGTTCCTTGTTAATGTTGCACAAAACGAAGAAGATTGCATTGAGCCAACAGGTAGCGGATTCCGTTAGTGAGAGTGCAAGTTGTCCTACACAATAACCCTCCTCTCTCATCTCCCTCACACCAGCCACGAAGGTCTTCAAAATGTAAGTGTAGGTTCACTTGTTTTTCTTTTATATTTTGTATGTTCTTTATGACTTTGTATTATATTACAGTATTGTAATCATTTCTAGATGAATATTTTTGGGTTGTGGAATGAATCATCTGAGTTGCCATGATGTCTTGCGGGGAAATTCACCTTGAGAGACAAGTGCTTTGGATTAGAAGCATGTTCTGCAATAAATTATGCTTGCAAACCAAGGTTTTACTGTACTGGTTTTCGTCAGGCACGGGGCTATTCCAAACAGGCGTAGGCAGGTCCCCTGAAGTGTACGCTCTGAGCATGGGAATGCCGGTACCTCGTGAGAACGGCTGGAGCTATGCTCTTGGTGTCCCCACCCTCTCCTGGATCAGAGCTAGCCTGAGCTCTGGTGGTACAGGAGCCTGTCTGCCCCCGTTTGGTTGACGTCATCATTCTTCCTTCACCGGCTTCCTTGACTTCCTCACTGATTTTTGTCTCCAATCCCTTCATCCCTAGCCCTGGGGATTTGGCAACCTGTTGTTCAAAGAGCTCCAGCCTTGGCAAGCATCTCCAGGCCCGGTTCTAGCATCTAGAGAAGCTGGTATCCCCAGGGCAGAAGCATGCTTGGCCTCTGACTTAATCAGGGTGGAGATCAGAAACCACATGTCCTCGCAGCTCAGAAAATATTCAACATAACCCCGGAAAGAGGGCAAAATTCACAAAGAACCTGTGGCCCAGAGGTTAAGTAATCGGCCCTCCGTCACACAATAAATAAGGACACTGGTAAAGCCACGGCAGCAGTGAGTCCCTGTGGCCGTGGCAGAGAGATTCTGCTACAATTGCAGGTGAAAGGAAACTCTTAAGCATGACGTGGGCAGAAAGACTGAGAATCCAGTTAGAGGCACAGTGCAATGTGAAAAACCAAGTGCAGTGTGTGTGTGTGTGTGTGTGTGTGTATTTTATAGATATTCACATCTGAGTTTAAAATATGTATACTAACTTGAACTAATAATGAAGAGTTTATCAACAGGAATCCTGACCAACTATCCATAATGAATAGGTAAGGAATGCAGGGAAACCTCTGAGAACTGGGAGTCCCCAACATCCTGTGGACATTCTATTTGGCTCCAGGGGTGATATCAATGATCTGGATTATCGGAGCTGGCAGAGCCCATTTCCCTTTACCGCCCCCATCCCCGCCATCACAATTTCTGTCCTGGACACGTGACCTGAGCAGATGCAGTGAGAATGAATGACAGAGCTTCTTCTGCAGCTCTGTGGTGCTATGACCCACCACAAGCCATATGTAGCCTCCTAAAGGGAGATTCTTAGAATCAGGTTGACACCATGCAAATCAAAGCAGGTGGAGAAAAGAACCCAGGACGTTTAGCGGCGCTGCTAAGCCAGATCAGTATCTGTCTGCGCTAGCACTGTGTCTCGTGGCTTTCTAGTTTCATAAACCAAAATTCCATTTATTGTTGAAGCCAGCCTTGAGTTATACTTTTTTTTATATTTGTTTAGTTTTTAGAGACACACAGAGAGAGAGAGAGAGAGAACGAGAACAAGTGGAGGAGGGGCAAAGAGAGAGAAGGGGACAGAGGATCTGAAGCGGGCTCCATACTGACAACACAGAGCCCCATGTGGGCTTGAACACGGGAACCGTGAGATCATGACCCGAGCTGAAGTTGAATGCTTAACCAACTGAGCCACCCAGGTGTCCCGAGTTGTGTTTCTTTTTACTTGTAACCTGAAGAAGTCCTGGTGCAGGAGGCATTTAAGAAAAGCATTTTCTTTACTGCAGAGGATAGCATTGCAAATGGCTGAACACTGTCGAGTGGTTTAATTTGCTTGGTAAATATTTTTCTTCTCAGAGACGGCTGATATAAACAATAAGCTTCAGTCTCTTCCAGGCTGAGTTATTTTACTATACTGTCAAGATCACGATTCCCTAATGCTTTTACAGCTAGGCAACACCATCTTCAAGAGCCATGGAACAGGCAAATGGAAATGAAAAAGAAGAAAGG